CTTTGCTATTTTTAAAATATTTGCAGAGTGATGCTGCATAATATTAGAGGTAATGGAAAAGTTTTACTTTTTCCCAATCTTACTGAAAATGCTCCTTCTTAAGTCAGTCTGCCTTTAAGGCTAACTTGTGGGCTGTGTGTGTGTGTGTGTGTGTGTGTGTGTGTGTGTGTGTGAAAAATCACATCAAAGATAAGTCTGTATGTTTCTAAGTCCTGGCCTATTTTTTTTGTTGTTGTTACTAATGGTTATTAAACTTGGGCAAAGACTTTGTCAGAATTTATTGAGATAATACGATGGTAACTTCTGATCTATTAATAGGATGTATTATGTTTAAAATACTTCATAATATCAGGCACAACTTTAATAGCTCCCACACATGGGACTGCATTTGAAATCTCCTACATCTTCCATGGGAATGGAGAGGCATACATTGTTCCCCATGTTTTTTGCCAACTAAGAATAAAAGAGAAAGAAATAAGCAGAAAAGATGCAGATGTCAATTTGAAACTCAGCTGTTCTCCACTACCACATAACACCACAGATTAAAATAAATTAAGAATCAGTTGGCTAGAACTCTAGGATTTTTGTTGGGTTTTGATAAATGAGATGGATATTTTTCCTGGTGCATGTTTAGATAAAAATTTTTAATTATATTTTCAGTTTTAAACAGCCTTAACTGCAACAACTTTTGAGTTTGAATCAGATGTTTTTCTTTCAATTTCTTTTTGGAAGGGTTGATCCCAACATCTACAGCTACAGACTCATATGGGGCTAGACACTGTTTTGACACATTAATTTCTGGAGTGTTTGGACTATCATTTTACTCTAAAATAGCTTTCTGTAAATGTAATGTGGAAGGTCTCCCTACAGACATGTGCTGTGTCTAGGAGAACAGATTACTACAAGTTATGGACTGGTGAAGGTACAGGAACGACCTGTCATGGTCAAATCTGTAGAAATAGCGACAGGTCATAAAGATGTACATGTGTGACCCTTGTGAGAAGACACAGTCAGTTTATTTCCAATAATCTGACTGCTCCAAGAGACAAGAGCTCCCTTCCTACTCAGTGTCATGGGGGACCCACAGAGGAAGAGGAAGGAGAGCTCTGGGCACAAAGGAGAGATCACATCAGAGGAAACAAACAAGCTTCCTGCATAGCCGGGGACATGTCTGCGGGTCTGGTCACTGTTCTGTGTTCTAGCCTTAATCTTGATCTAAGAAGTTGTGTGGGATACAACCTCAGTGAATAGTTCCTGCCAATGAATAGTTCAGGGAGATATGGACAGATTTACCCTTGAAGTGTCCAGTACAACAACACCACCACCAAAAAGACTCCACAAAAACAAAAAAATATAAAAACCTGCCCTCAGATAGAAGTGGGTCCACGAAGCTGGAACCTGAGGCAGGGGCAGTAGACGGAGAAGTGAAGGCTCAGGGATGCCTCTGAGGAGACCCCATGCTTTGCACTGGTGTGTCTGGGCTTAGACACTGGAGGTTGCTTGGAACCTGTTCTTGAGAGACCTGGAGATGAGCCGAGTTGAGACAAATCCTCAGGCTCTGCATGGTGCCTCTGCTTATTGCTTATAGCCGTGAACTTCCCCATCACTTCGTCCTCCCAGACCTACTCTTGCCCACCTGCTGACATCCTCAAGCAGAAGAACCTAGACCAGAAACCTGGGTGGACCACCATTTCCCTGAATGGACCTTCCCCCACTAGTGTACCTAAGAAGGCACTGTAAACACCAGGAGAAAGCTCTGCTCAGCTGTGGGGCACAGAAAGAAGGCCTTTGGAATGGTCACCATGGCCTTGTCCCCCTTCCCAGGTGACTAGATAGAGGGAAGAAAAAGAGTCTCTGAAGATAATGGGTCCCGTTTTCTCTTTCAGCCTCTAGAACCAGAATTTTTCACTATGTTTCGCCTACTTCCAGGGCTCGGGTCTAGACTGTGCTGACTCAGCCACCTCAGTGTCTGGGTGTCTTGGGCTACAGGACAGAAGGTCATCATTTACTGCCCAGAAAAGCAGCACCGGTATTGGGGAGGGCTGGTACCAACAGTTCCCTGGAAAGTCTCTCCAAACCCTCATCTATGACAATCATGTTCACCCCTGGAAGTTCCTGATCCTTTTGTCAGCTCCAAGCCTGATAGCTCAGCCTCCATGACTATCCCTGGCTTCTTGTCTGAGGACAAAGGTGATGATCAGTGTTGATCCTATGATGATCTCAGTGTGCTCCAGATCCTCGGGAAGTGAGATGAGAAACCTTTCTTCATCTGCCAGGAGGTTAGATGCCCAACAGCTCCTCTTCAGGCCTAGCCTCTGGCTTCTACTGTTGCAGCCACTGTGGGCCCAACCCATGTAAGTGAGAATAGTTATTGTCCACTGTTTTAATGTGTAAGAGATTTCGAATATTAAAAATTATGTCTATATCGACCCATATGAAGAGCTATAATGTATTGGATTTGTTTTAATATTGTTTGGGAAGGAAGTTGGGTAAGGGGTAAAGAGGAATGAGTGGAAAATTAAATAATAAGAACTGCATCCCTGATGATCGAAGCTGGAAGATTGACGTAGAGCTCTTATTGGACTCTTCCCTATGGGGTTTGTAACTTAAATTCCACAATGACAAATGTATAGAAACAAAAGAAAAAAAACTATCTCTGATGAGGAGTGAATATCTTTGTGCAAACAGATGATCAAATTTCTAAAATGGTATCTGTCACCATGGCCACACATGAAGATTCTCTTCCAAAGGGAAGTTGCCTTTGAGACCACGCAGGTGACAGGAGCTCAGAGTCTCCAGGGCAGAGAAGTGAGAGAGGCTGGAACTCCCAGGCAAAGACAGGGGCTGGGAGGGGGCCAACACTCTCTTCTTCTTCTTCTTTTTGTTTTTGGTACCTGGGCTTGAACTCAGAACCTTGCCCTTGTGAAGCAGGCGGTGAAACCACTGAGCTAAATCCCCGGCCCTAATGATCTGAACAGAGACCAACCTGAAGAGTTTGAGTTTTTACGTAAAAATAATGAGGCGTCACTGAAGGATTTAATCACTGAGATTATCTACCTGACTGGAATGAGAGAAGTCTCTCCGGGTTCCTTTAGAAGAGAAACAAGGGGATCTGAGTATGTGTTATTTCTAGAAAGACCATGTGAGTTGAAGCGATTGGGGAGCATTTGCACAGTAAAAGGAGATTTGGATATAAGGACAGTAAGGAAATGGTAATCTCTGCATCTGTCTATGGGGGCACCAAATCATGCACACACACACAAAGAAAAATCAGTCACATGTCACACTAGTTTCTGACTAAAGTAGAAGTACAGATAACAAAACAGCTTTGGAAAACTCCAGTAACAATAAAAACAAAATGGGCATCATCAACTGGAGACTGATAAAAAAGATGCAGTTTTTCTATAAAATGGAGTAAAAAGAATGAGAAATTAGAGGACTTTATAACTAAATGGATGCATATTGAGGCCATACTCTTAAGTGAAATAAATAGGATACGTGTGTAAATACTGAATAGTTTCTCTGGTGTGAAAAACTGAAAATGTAAGGTTTAAATTGTATAATTGATAATGTGAAATAGGAAGAAAAGTTCTAAAGGAGTAGGGGAAGTGTGAAGGGCAGGAGAAAGGAAAGAAGGGAAAAGAAAAATATATGAGAAATGGAAACAAAGTCTTTGTAAATAGGGAAGGGTGGAGGGGGTGAAGAGAGGGCAGGGGGTGGGGAAAACATAAGAACCAAGATATATCGTGTAAAGGTACAAGATCCCAATGATGAATGTAACTGTACTGTATACCTGAAAAGTACCAATAAACTTAATGAAAAAAAAAAAAAACAGAAACAAAATGGTCAACAACTGACAAAATTCTAGGAAAAATTGTTGTATAAGTATGGGGAAGGGCTCAATGGTTCTGCCACCTGCCTCACAAGTGCAAGGACCTGAGTTCGATCCCCAGTACAAAAAAAAAAAAAAAATCAAATAAATATGGGAAGACTCCAAAGTAAGGAGCCAGATCTCACTTCATAAGAGAATTATGCCACACTATTTTGTAGACATGAAGCTTCCAATGATTTTAGTTTTATTGCTTTTTTTTTTACAAATGACTAAATTAAATTTGCACACTGCCAAAAATCTGAAATCATTAAATGACCTTTGACATATTTGTTGAATTGTTGTGTTTTCAATGTATTGCTCAGCTTATTCTTGTATAATTCCCACAATGCAGAGTTTCTCTGAACAGAACAGAAACAGCACTCTAAGCAGCCCTGTGATGGCCACATGCAGGATGCTTCATGTAATGGAAAAAAGTGTCATTTAACTTTTCCTCCCCGGATCCTCTTTATACTGGGGATAGAACCCAGGGCCTTGCCCATGCTACCCAGGGGTGCTAGACCCTTGAACTCCATTTGAAACTCCATTTAGCTTTTTATTAAATATGCTAGAAGGTATTGAGAATTTAAATGTTTGCACCTCCCCTAGAACAGGACTCCTTAGGGGAGTGAAAAACTACAGCAATCAAGTTCAACATGATGGAATAAGGGGTCAAGGAATCGGACCACGAATGTGGAAACAGATGATGACCTGGCGAGTTACAGAAACTTGATGGGCTGTCCGCTTTCTGGCTGTGAAGAGGTGTGCGTCCGTCAACCAGCAGGGGGTGCTGTGGGATCGCCTTGTGGTCCCTTCCAGCAGCTCAGTAACATTGACTCAGGGACCTGAACCTGGGGCCCAGCTAGGTTCTCATTGATGGCACGGAAGAGTCCTAGAACAGAGACCTTTCCCTTGTCTCCCAGGTGTTCCCGCCCCCCTGGCCCACAGAGAGGGGGAGCAAACCTTCGTCCTCTTCAATCTGCAGAGTGAGCTGAACTCCAGAAAAAGGCTCAGGAAAGGGCTTGGGGCAGTCATGATAGAAGCACATTTGCATGCAGAGCTCCTCCTCTGCAGAGGGTGGGAAGAAAACCAGTCCTGTATCAGCTCAGCGCCACCGAGGGGGTAAGGGGGCTGTGTCTACCATGGCCTGGATTCCATTTCTCCTGCTCTTCTCTTACGGCACAAGTAGGTACAAGCCTGGGGTCCCAGGCATCCACCAGTCCTCTTGGTTCTGTCTGTTCTGATTGAAGCCCTGCGAAGTTGCTGGCTGCTCTGTCACTCACCAGTGTGTCTGTTTTCAGGTTCCCTCTCACATCCTGTGCTGACTCAACCACCCTTCCTTTCCACGTTCCTGCAAGAAACAGCCAGATTCACCTGCACTATGAGAAGTGACGTCAATGTTGCCGAAAAAAACATAAACTGGTACCACAAGAGGCCTGGGTCTCCTCCTCAGTATCTGCTCTATTACTACTCAGACTCAGAAAAGCACCAAGGCTCCTGGGTCCCCAGCCACTACTCTGGATCTAAAGATGCCTCCACCAACTCAGGGATTTTGATCATTTCTGGGGTCCGGCCTGAGGACGAGGGTGACTTTTACTGTATGGTTGGACACGATGGTTCTCACACTGATGCAGGGTAAGGGGAAGCGGGACGTAAACCTCAGCCTGGCCAGGATCCTGAACTATGCCTCTTCCAAATTTAAATTAATTCTAACATGCACTGACTAAAACTGATTAACTGTAGCTACAGCGTTTGCGTCCTCACTTTTCCATTTATTAAGAAAATGAGATAAGGGTTTGTTCTTTTTTCCTCCATCTGATCTACCGAAACTAGGATGTCTGAAGATCTTAACTGTTTCTATGCCACCAGCACTACTCAGCCCTCAGGAATCCCTCTGTGTATCAACCGGTCCTTTGACCTCTGCCAAACCTTCATCTGCCAAAGCAAATACAACATTTGTCTGCAGAAGGTTTTTGGTTTCCCGCATGTGTAGTCCAAGCATATATGTGGTAGCAGAAGCCTAGCATGTGTGAACGTGGGATCCAGGCCCCCTCTTACTGGCTTTGTGGATATATCCTTTTTGTTGTTGTTGATGATGATGATATATCCTTAACCTGAGGATATATCTGAGGGTCTATAGTATGATTCGGGAGTGCAAAGAGTCTCTTCTTCAGGATATGCCCTAGAGTAGCCCCTGAACTCCCAGGTGCGTAGTGTTCCCTCTTATTAATAAAGGAGCTGTCTCTTGGATGCACTGCTTTCTCCCTTTCTACAACTGAATACTCTAAGTCATGCTCTCTTTGCTTATTTGGTTGGAATTATGTTAAAATGCATCAAGATTTTCTGGGAGATCAAGGAATGAAAAAATACACCCAAAAGGAAGGTCTCATTCAGTGAAGCCACATTCCAAATGTTATCAGGGGAGACACAATTGTTTCCTGCATAGTCATGAGCTTCTGGAGCCCTGGGCATTTCAGCTATATTGTTTACTGACCTGACTTATTATCCACTGTAAATTATCGAAGCACTTGGGGAGGAAAGAGCTAGAATAATCAATTACGAGGTATAGTTTATTTGGGGGATTATAAAAGAGTCACAATAAGATTTATGAACAATATGTCAGTATCTACATTATGAAAGTGATTGCTCTGGGCTGGTCTAGGGGAAGTATAGAAAAGAAGGAAGAAAGAAGCTCAGCCTTGGGCAGCTTAGGTAGAAGTGTTCTGTCCAAGGACTTGCTTGTCTACAATGTGGGCTCCTTGCAAAGACATCTCTGGGAAAGTTGTGCCGGCAGAATATTGCAAAAAAAATACAAATTGAATTGCACAGTGCATGGCCTAGGGAGGAGGTCAGAGTATAGTCCCAAAGTCAGCGGTTCTTGTTTCCATCCTTATCTACAGCTTCTGAAAGGAAGAAGACAGACTTGAGGATGCTAACTCCAGATGAAAGTCTTCAAGATACAGAACGATGGGGTCTCTAGCATGGTTTGGGATCCTGTAGTTCTCACCCTTATTTACTGCAGAGGTGGCTAGAGGTTGGGTCCAGTGTCTGGGGAAGAAAAGACAGGGACCTCATATGTCCCTGTACACTGACCTGCCACTTTCATTCCTTTTCGGAACTGATGTTCAGGGTCCTGAGCGCAATCCGTGCTGACTCAGCCATCTACAGCGTCCAAGTCTGTGAGACAGACAGTCATCACCTTCTTTGCTGGAAGTGGCAGTAGTATTAGATATGGGTGGTTCCTGATGTCAGCAGCCCCCTGGTAGCACCTCCACCTTTCTCAGGTATGGCAGTAATACTCAGCCCTCAGGAATCCCACTGTGTATCCCTCAGTCCTTTGACCTGCCAGTTGATTAACCATATTTATTTGGCCCAAATTACAATTTCAGAATCACTTTAGAGAACATGGCCTAAAGAATGTGTTCCTGCCTGCTAAAACTTTTCCCTGAAATTCAATCCTTGGTAGAAACACCTCATGTTGTTTCGCAGTGATCACAAATAGCTTGATGAGTCCAGTTTTTCTTAGAACCAAGACTATGACGGCTTTGGAAATAACTAAAGACACAGGGTCCACTGTTTCCAAATCAGAGTACTCAAATGTCCACTGATCTGCCATTTACACCATTTACCGATAACTTACTAAGTGCTAGGCCCCTGTGTAGGTGATCAGGGTATAGAGTGAACAAGACTAATCCTGTCCTGGTGGAGCTGAGCACTGCCTGGTAGTAGGGAAAAGATGATCGAGTGAAAACAGCAACACAGATCTGATAGGGTGGGGAGAGAAGGAAGGGGTGGTGTGGTGGTGTGGGATACTTCAGAGGATTGACAAGGAAGATAGAAGATCTGATTTAAATGTATGAGGAGAAATTGAAGTGCTACAGAAAAGATAAAGAAGGAGCAAGGAAGAGTAGAGGAGGTGGCATCAGCTGGATTATCGGAAGAGGTCAGATTCCACACATTCTTGTGATAATGAGGCCCTGAAATATGAGCCTCGCAAAGTGGGTTCAAAAATAGTCTTAGGAGGGGGACTGCATGGGATTCAGTGGCACTGTTGGGGGAAGAGTTCATGGGCAAATGTGGGGTTACGTCCCTGCCCACAAGGAGCTCATTACCACTACAGAAATGTTGAAAGTAGTTTCAAGTTTGTTCAGGGGTACAGAAAGAAATTACCATCTCTAAGTGGAAAGTAGAGAATATATCTCAAGTTGTACTTGAGTTGTCCCTTCTCCATGACTCATGCCTACTTTTCCTCTAGAATAAATTATATAAATGTCATCTTTGACCATGAATCTGAAGTTCAGCAGTCGGAGGAGGAGGAGGAGGAGGAGGAGGAGGAGGAGGAGCAGGAGGAGGAGAAGAATGTTCATGAAAGCCTCCTCTTCCCAGAGAAAAAAGGATACAGACTGAAAAATCAAACCATTGGCTTCTCTCCTTTGCCTGTGCCCCGTCACGTGTGAGAACCACACATAGGAGCTCAGCACAAGCACCTTTCCTCCGACCACACCCTCTGTGCGGGACCTCCTGTCCCTATCCTAACACAACTTCTCTCCAGGCTACCACCAAGTCACTGCCGATATTCTGTACTCATGGGGTCCTGGTCACAGAGATGTATCTTAGTTAACTCCTCTGTGTGCTGGAACCTAGAATCAGAGTGTGCCTGACTCTGAGTCAGCTGTGACTTGGCCCCATTAGGACGAAATCCCAGCTATTGACAGCCTGACCAAACGCTCCTGGTTTCCCCAGCTCGGAGCCCCTTTTCAGCTTGTACTTGAAGTGCTCTGTCATAGCAGCAACGTGTAATATACTCAGCCCTGGATGCACCTCATTTTTCTAACAACGCACTGGCCTCACCTTGTGCCTTTCTCTGCTTGTATTTCCTGATAACCCTAATATTCAGCTAGAGCCCACTGCCTCTTTGTTTTCCTTTACATGATGTATCTTTATTCTCATTTTTCCCCACCCCCTGCCCTCCCTTCACCCACTTCACCCTTCCTTATTTAGAGACTTTGCTTCCATTTTTTCCTTTCCTTATATTTTTTCTTTGCCTTCCCTTCCCAATTCCCCTACTCCTTTAGAACATTTCTTCCTATTTCACATTATCAATTATATGATTTGAACCTTATTTATACTTTTAGTTTCTCACCCCAGAGAAACTATTCGGTATTTACACATGTGTGCCCCATTTATTGCATTTAAGAGTATGGCCTCAATGTGCATTCATTTAGCTCTAGTTTCTTCTTCTTCTTCCTCTTCCTCTTCCTCCTCCTCTTCCTCCTCCTCCTCTTCCTATTCCTCCTCTTCCTCTTCCTCTTCCTCTTCTTCTTCCTCTTCTTCTTTTCTTCTTCTTCCTCTTCTTCTTCTTCCTCTTCTTCTTCCTCCTCCTCCTCCTTCCTCTTCCTCTTCCTCTTCCTCTTCCTCTTCCTCTTCCTCTTCCTCTTCCTCTTCCTCTTCCTCTTCCTCTTCCTCTTCCTCTTCCTCTTC